AGGAGTAGATTTTCAGAGTTTGAGCATAAAGAATTTAAGTTTGAGCCTAACTTTTCTTTCTGGAATATTTACATTAATAAATAACTAATGCTAATTACAAGTATTCAATCTAGTAGTGTTAAACTTAAGCAAGAACTGACCACAGAGAAGTCATCTGAACAATTGTAAATACCAATCGAATGCTAATGATTTTAGGGCAGATTTTGACTTACTCGACCTAACCTCAGGATAATAAAATAATAGGGTTAAAAGGTGTTAAGATTTAAAGTTCACACCGTAAAACATGGCGCCCAGCGGGGGGCTTTAACTGTTCAATTCTGGCCAGTAATTGAACAGTTAAGCGCCAGCTAAATAGCATGTGCGTGGATGTGCTTAAGGATTAGAAATGCATTTTCTTTTTTAAAGATAAATCAATTAGAAGACGACTAATGAAACTTAGTCGAAAAAAAATAAAATCTAGAAAAGATTATTTAAAGAAGACACAGAAAGGGTTAGATGTGCAAGGCTCGTTGCTTCAGGCGATGTGTTGCGTACCGTCTGGATCAGGCTCCTGTAGTCCTTCAGAACCTCAGCCTGATGTCGTTCGCTCCCACGTTCAGCACAACAGTTCTGACGCGCTCATCACCGTTCAGGATCTCGGGAACCTGTGCAGCAATATCAAGAACATGAGCACCAGGAAAGCAGTGAGTGCGCACCTTATCCTTACCTGAGGTAGCACAGACATGACGGACCATGGATGTGCCCATGATCACGGTGGCGTCGCGTTCCGACTCGCTAAGAGGGGAGAATCGGTTCCAGGTCGAGATCTCCAAGACCGGGAGGGGCAGCAGAGAGGTTCTTGCTCTGGTCTTGGCTCGTGTCTTCCGCTGTGTGATCCATGGTGTTGTGTCGGTGCCGGAGTGAATGGAGCCAGAGATGATCGAGTCTTCCTGGGCAGAGAAACGCATGGAGTAGATGAAGTCAGAGTCAAATGGTAACAAATAGAATTTCAGCCCATAAAAATACAAGCCCTAACAATACAATGCCTGCACTTTTTTTGTTTTACAATTAGTGTAATTAAGCCAGCTTCTTTGTTTCACACACATTTGTCAATAGTCTTCTTCTCTATATAAATTAGGAAGTACAATAGGCAATGTAATAAATCAAGTCAATTCACATAGGGCTGTGTAATCTAATCCAATCTAGGGCTGTGAAACGATAAATCATGATTAATTGCATCCAAAATAAAAGTTTCTTTACATAATATTACGGTTAAAACAGTGTGAGGTGCAAAAGAAAAGGTTTAAGAGAACAAGAAGTGCAGAGAAGAGCACATAGAAACAAGAATAAGTCTCACATCTCCACACAAGGAGGGCTTCAGAAGATATGCAGAGGATCTGCTAATCCTCCATTTAAGAGCATGTGGAGGTCCTGAGAAACAATTACAACAGACAAGCATTTAAACCGCAAATTACAAAGTATAGTATTGATTATGTTGGCAAAATAGGCAAGTTAACAAATTAACATTAACAAGCAGTCATCAGTGACCATGTCATCTCACCTGAACTTCACCGGTCACTACATGTGGCAACCCTCTGTATCTGAACTCTGACTCACTCAGATGCCTTTAAATCCCTAAACAGCTCCGGCAAAAACACAAATCAGATCACTCACACATGCAGGACTCATTCCAATCAAGAGCTCACTGGAACAAAAATCATAAAATTACATTAATTCATTAGAAAAGTTAATTCATCCAAAAACACAGGACAGGTCATAAGTGGATCGTTGGACAAAAGCACTACACGAATGATCCGATCTCAGTGATAGAGTTCACATCAGACCCGATCTCAGTGATAGAGTTCACATCAGACCCATTTTCATCTCAGATCTACAGAGGAAACAGAAAAATTAACATGATACACCAAATTAAAGAAACAATAACAACAACAATAATAATAAATCCAAAAATCTGTGTGAAAGCGGATAAAGTGAAATATACCAAAACTCTTAAAGACCAGTAAAACACTGGCAAAAGCCAGCTGCTAAAAGAGACTGTAAATTACCCACCAAACATCAAATCTCAATCTGCAAAATCTATTTGGGATGTTAATAAGAGCAGTACAAAAATTTAGTTTCATATAAATAAATAAAAATACTCACAATACAAGCATCCCAATTCTATAATCAAAGGAGGCATAATAACAAACACGTATTTCTGCTTTAGAAATGTGCTCATAAATGTCAGTTACAAAATGGTGGATGTATTAAAGCACACAACGATGGAGATAACTTCAGGAGACATCAATAGACCAGTGAACAGAGGAACCCACGAGGAGACCCACACACATCAACTACAACTCAAAGTAATGCAAGCCAACGGCCAGGCAGAAACAGAGGGCTTAAATACACAGATAACAGATCAGGGAAACGAGACACAGCTGGGGTAAATTAACCCAACGACAGTAACCATAGTAACGAACTGGGAGAGAATGGAGACCTGACTAGTTCACGAGGTTCAGCTGTGTTGTGTTAATGAAGACGGTGAAACTGGGATCAAGGAGTGGCACAATTTGATGAAAGCCTAAAAATGCTTCAGAAAGCCTTGGTTTACGATCACTACATTTAAATTAGTGATGTTACGTATGACACTGAAGCTTTGATGCACGATCACCTATGCGACACAATTTCTAGTGAGTCACGTGATCGATGACAAATGAAGCCTCACTTTCTGTCAGATCACGTGCGAGTTTCGCTTTGGGTGACACACACACACACACACACACACATATATATATATATATATATATACGTATATATAATTTATTTATTATTTAACATTTTACTTATTTTATTCTTGTAAGTAATTTATTACTTTCATATAACATTTTTTAGAAGGCGAGATGCTTGGTGTGTGACAAAGAGCTTGTTTATGGAAACAACACATCATCCATGCTGAGGCATTTCAGAGCTTTACATGAGACTGCACAGCCCCAGAAAGCCATGTGAAAGAGTGTTCTCTAAGGCTGGGGAATTACTGTGTAAGAGGAGAAATAGACTCAGCCCCAACACTGTGAAACAGCTTTTATTTTTAAATAAAAATAATTAAAAACTTTATCACCTTTCTGTCATTCCTACAGTTACATAAGCACTATCATTGCCAAGTGTCATTCATTTAAAAACAGATGATCATATCAGACAATGTTATATTCTTTGTGTGTGCAGAGAGGCAGAGAGGGAGAGGGAGAGAGAGAGAGAGAGAGGGAGAGAGAGAGAGAGAGAGAGAGAGAGAGAGAGAGAGAGAGAGGGCCTACAATAAATCTTATTGAATAATATAAGCTTATATTATATTTTATTGTCACACTTTCAAACAGGTAAGGTTTTTATTTGTACACATAACATTGAAACTCTGTAGTGTGTTGTGGTTGCTTCATCTGCCAGAGCTTCTGGCTGCTTTATTTTAAATAAGCACCAGATGGCGCTGTTCTCGACACTCTCGAAGCTTTGAATCTTTTCCCGGAAAAGTCAGGGGAAAGCCTCATTGCTTCATGAAGCTTCATTTCTGCATTAAAGTTTTTTTTTAAGAAAAGTTATGAAAATACAAATATACAGAAAGGGTAGATATCTACAACACCAACTAAGTAAAAGTGAAAAATAACCAACAATAAAAATAACTCTCTTATACCTTTACTTCAATTGGACCTTCCCTCTCCAAACAACATCCCAGACTGGCAATCCTGCAGGATCATCCTGTGGGCATTTATACTTATGGGCAAAACCACTGACAGGAAAGCAAACAACAAGGAATACAATTCAACAAACCACCAAATCTCAATATAATAAACTTTCTGTACATGGCCTAATTCACAAATTATTATTTAAAAAAATATGAATAAATGTTTCCTCATTGAAAACTGTTACATTTTTAAACAAACATTCCCCTTCATCTTCTACACTTGGTTTCTCCTAGTTCCCAACATGCACCTCAGCACAGATATAAAAGCTCATTCCAGAAGCTGTTCTGGTTTTTCCTCTGGTTCTAGCTGTCGCATTGGCTGGGTTTCTGTTTTAATTCAATTGTGAAGTAAATGATGTTACAAAAAGACTCTACAAATATTAGGCTCTACTATTGTGTTCATGTTGAAATTTAGAAAGATCAATAACCTGATTCATGTAAAAAGGGAGTATTTTGTCCACTATTTTTATCTTTTCCATTGAGTCAGGCTGATGTGATGATGTCTCCAGACCTGCTCGTCTGCCGTGAGATTTCTCTGCCAGGATTCATATGAAAGGTAGGTTGGAACTTTCTTTAATTACATTCTTTTATAAATGGATGTTTGATCATAATTCTAAATCCATAATGTGTTTGGGATGAACTATAACAAAGAAAGCATTAAAAATGTCTTGTTGAGGAGCTGAGATTTTGTTTATTTATCCAATTCTATTTGTAAGAAAGGGTTAGGGTTTGTTGGGTGTGACGGGCTGCTGATCTGTCTTCGCTGTGTTTGTGTTTCAGTGGCGGCGATGGAGGACTCCTGTGATAAAATCTTCCTGCTCCCTGCCTTCGAGAGAGAGAAAGAGGGGTTCTCTCTCCTATGTTTCTTTCGTTATGTTTTTGTTTGGTTGCTGTTGCCAGCAATTATGTGTTTTATTATAGTTTTGATTGGTAAATAAAGTGATTATCTTTTGATTAAGTTTTTCCATCATTCAGACCAAATTCAAGATTGCCAGTGTGCTGCGGCTGTGCTAATGGCGGAGAAACAACCTAAACTGCCAATTTCTAGTGGCACCGGCTCATATAAAACAAGGAAGGGTAAAAGGAAAAAAAACGATGAGGATAAACAAGTGAAAAAGAAAGAATTAGACAGAGCCCATTGACTCGGTGTCAAAACTCTAGCTGTGTTACATGAAGATAAAATGTCACGCACTGTGCAAAACAACAACTGAGACCTGCTAATTCATTGGCTTGTCATGTTGCTGAAATAATATTGTGGCGAGCGAGCAGGACGAGGCAGAGGGACATGAGAGCGTAAAGGAGGAGCGACGACAGTGGAGAGAGGAACAGGCCTCATTTTACACTGTGATTTAATGTTCTGTGTTGTGTGTTGTCCGTGACAGGCTGCTGGCTTATAATTTCATTTTGTATTTGTTTATTTATTATTAAACTTGTTGATCCTTCTTGATTTGTGTTCTATTCTAAAATAGAAAATATAGTAATTTTTAACATTGACTCTAGTATGTTGATATGATGGAGTATGTGGATACAACATATACTGAAACGTTCTCAGTCGATTCAGTGTGAGAGGGCCTTGCATTTGCTTCAGCGGGACAAATGAGAGATGCGTCAGGGTCAGGGATAGGGTTAACCCGTCAGAGATCAGGGTCAGGGATAGGGTTAACCCGTCAGAGATCAGGGTCAGGGATAGGGTTAACCCGTCAGAGATCAGGGTCAGGGATAGGGTTAACCCGTCAGAGATCAGGGTCAGGGATAGGGTTAACCCGTCAGAGGCCCTGCAGACCCTCAACAATTAGAAAAACACACATCATCTGCTTTTTTTAAAAGTTGAACAAATCTAATAGATATAAGTTGCAAAATGCATTGTAATTATTATTATTCATATAATTGATACCAAAGAACTTGTGTAGTGAACTGATATAATATATAAATATTATATGAATTATAAGATACACTGGGGCTGATGTGGTGTGTCTGTCAGAACAGTTTTCTCTTCTAAGACTGACCGAGTTCTTCAGAAGTCTGTCGTGAAGATCCAGCGCTGTGTCCAGAGAGCGGTCAGCCGGCCAGAACTGAACCCAGAGCTCGAATCCACACATGAACAAACACTTTAGACTGACGAGAAAAGAGTGACTTTCACCAAGACAGAAGACATGAAAGCTTTGGTCTGCGAAACTGTGACCTCATTAAACAAACAGAAACACCAGAATCATGCAAAGACTAGAAATGACGTATGTAGGGTTTGGACCAATCAGACACACACTGATTATTCATATTCATTATATTTAATGAATATAAAAGTCTACGAAACTCCCCCAAAACTTCACAAATGAACATCACAAATGAAGTTACTATGTCGGCCGGGTGTCCTGTTACAGAGCACCTTAAGACTGATAGCAGGCTCAATAATGATTTTGTGATGATTTCAATGTGGTGAATAAGTTCAAACAGATCATCATCAAAAGAAAAAGGAGAATAAAGAAAAGTTCTTTATATTAAAACAGGAGAGAGAATCACATGTATAATCAGGGACTTTGGGCCTGCAAACATTAAGACAATAAAAAGTTGTATAAAATACTCAGCAGTACAATGTTTTGGAATAGTTTCTTTATAAATGACTGTTTTTGATTAGTGACACCAAAAAGAATAGAGCAACATCATGCTAGTCTAATAATTTAAAACCAACAATAATATTTACATTATTGATTTCCTGTACACGTGTTTTGCTGGGGGAATTACAGATTGATGTGAAATGTCTTTAACAAACCGATTTTTCACCCAACAGTTGGTTTGTTTGTTCAGGGCAACAATGACCTCCATTTGTTTTCACAGTACTGAGAATTTGTCACATTATTAATGAAATAAATAGAAGCTACAGATGCAATTGCTACTGCATGTCGGTTGCATAATTGCTGTGAGTGAGCAGGATCCTGCCTCCCTGAATACTGCTGTAGTGTTCCAGAAAGAGATGATGAAAGAGCGACAGGAGAATGCGGCGTTATACAGATTTTACAGCCCTGAATGATGTGATTGGGTACAAACACTGCCGTTAAAGGGGCCTATCATCAGGTCCTAACCTAACCCACTTATAATGCATGTCAAGGTTTCTTTCCTACTACTCCCACTTTTGTCTTCAATGTAAACATCTCTTCACGTGAAACGAGTAAAATGAGTGTGTCTGATGTGGGTTCAATCTTCTTTTTAACTGCTCCGTCCTTCAGTAACAACCTCTTTGTGAAGATGCATCAGATCGACAGATTCACAAATCAATCTGCACAGAAATGTGTCGCTCAGACTGAAATGATCAGGGATCTTGTTGAAAAACATGAGCTGCATGTTTCTGACCACAGCACAAGCCTTAATACACACTTAACCACATTTTACTCTCATTGTAATTGCTGCTGGTGATCAGACTGTTAGACAGCATGACGGGCTAACGCAAGACCCCAAACACTGAGTAGGCCTTATTATTAACGTGTTCATACATTGATGTTCACATCAGAAAGTTGAAGGGCAGTACGAGTAGTTTTCACAGCATGGGGTTAAAATAAACTCTCCAGCTCTCCATTCCTCGCATTAAGCCACAAAAATATAAATATGAACATAAACACAATGTGTCATGATGTGTCACTAACATGGAAAATTGTGTTTAACACAAATGTAAAATACTGTACATTTGCACAAGTTGTAAAAATGTCTGGCAAGCAAATTGTCCAAATGGATCCGCTATTGGCAGACGTTATTGTTGGACCCTGGATTCTGTGATCTCCTCATGATACGACCCCTTCAGAAGAGTTTTGTGATGCATGAAATGAAGATGTGAAACACTACCGTGTGTTGCAGCTACTCATCTCATCTCGCGTCTGTAGCAGCTGCTCAGATAAAAGCACGATAAATCAAAATGAGGTATTCCTGTTTAGGGAGGTTTATGGTTATTTCAGCACTAGTTCCTCAGTGTGTGATTCACGGCTGAACGGCAGACATTCAGAATTGTCTCGTATTGGCATGACTGTAATGATTTGCAGAAACGAACAGCAAATGCAGTCCAGAGTTTTGCCCTTTTTATACTAAAATCAAATGAGTTAGTGTTCTTACAAAACAGAAAAGTCATTCCTTTATGCATAAAAGATGTTTTGGTGCAAACCCAGATGTCCGTGTGTCTTATCTTCTTGGGTCTTGAGATCTTTTTTAAGTTTTTGCACTCGTTTTTCACTTAAACTTTAGTCCGCTTTTTTCGCTCACGCGCTGCAATACGACTAGCTAAGAGAACAACATCATAGGCTGGATTCTTTAGGAGGGAAGTCCAGGTTGGTAACCATGGTGACGACAGAGAGGATGTCGTCGGGGGCGATGAGGTTGGTGTTGCGTTGCATTGAGATGATGCGTTCCTCAACACATCCCGCAGACAGACGAGCCTCGGCCTCGTGATCCCAACACTCCTCGATAGTCTCGCAGAGCAACGCCAGACCCTACAGGACAGAACACCCATCAGACTAGTCACATGATCAGCATGATTCAGATCTTCCTAGGAGCATCTGGAGCTTCAATGGGAGCAAGAAAATTTGACCAACTGTATAAAAATTATTGCAAAATATATTATATAATAATGCAGTTTTTTACAATCACTTTGCTACTATTTTCAGAACCGTGATGTCATTTTTCCCAACTCAAGACACAAAACTCACAGCGGTAATCTCTTGTAACACAGGCTGTCTAATGTTCAGAACACTGCATTCACATCTTTAAAGAAATCTTGCACTTGCACAATCATTGGTTAAAAATAATAATTTACTGTGAAATACCATTGAAACAACTATAGATCACACACACACACACACACACAAGCAACTGATAGTTTCATAGAGTCATTGTTCATACAATAATTAAATATTGTAGAACAAAATAGGAGATACAGGTTTCATTATGGCACTAAATTTACAGTAAACACATCTCTGTAAAAGCACTGCAATAGTAGAGAGAATACACACATAGTGGAATCATTGAACAAAGTTAGTGAAATACTGATGCAAAACACTACAGTACAATCACAACTTAGGTTTATTGAAATCAAAGCAAAAATATAAAATGTTAGGCTACATCCATGGATATTATAGTCTAATTGGTTCATGCTCCACGCTAATTGGTGACAATGAATCTCGTAATCTTGAAACTTGCATTATTTACTGTAAACATGGAAGATTGTATGTCTGTTTCCATACAACTACATGAAGAGGAACACAACCGTTACCGATCATAGTGAGCAGTTGTGTCAGCTGATGGTCAGATCATTGTAAGGAAATGAAGAGACACTCGTGTGAAGTGTAATGTGTGTATTGCCTTTTGAAATAGTCGTACTGTGATGTTCAGTTGAGTCATATTAAACGGGGGATTTTTGTTAAATGAACAAATGATCTGAGTTTTATGTGTATCCAAGCAATTGAGAAATGGGTTAAAGTTTTGAAAAATGTACATTTTGATCATTGAGTTTTGTGTCTAGATTTGTAAAAAATGACAAAGGTTCTGAAAATAGTAACAAAGTGATTGTAAAAAAACTGTAAAAAAAGTCACATGACCAAAATAAGTCAATGTGTGTGAGAGTGAGTGAGTGAGTGAGTGAGAGAAAGAGAGAGAGTGTGTGTGTGTGTGTGTGTGTGTTTGTGTGTGTGCTCTACCGTATGTTTTAGCCAGTCTTCTCTGAATATCGGTCGTAGTTTCTTATGCACAACGACGTCCTGCATGTCCTCCAGAGACGGATGAAGACCCGCCTCCTCCTCGAACGGCAGAGAGTACTCATCCACAGGACCTGAGAGAGACCATCCACGGTCACTACCACACACACACATCTCCTGAGTCTCTGAGTGAATGAGCTTTACCGTCGGCTGCTGTACATCGCGTGGCCAGTTCCCACAGCACCAGACCCGCCGCGTACATGTCGATTCTGAGGAACGCGTCGCGCTGGAAACTAATCGCTCCCTCCAACACCTCAGGAGCCATGTAGCGTCGCGTTCCCACCTTTAACACACACACACACACACAACAACTGCTGATGGAACCTTTAACGGCATTATTATCAACAATCAGCTAACACTTAAAATCTGTCACAAATAAGGACTAGTCAGAGTCAACGAATGTCTGCCATTAATTGTTTTTTGGAGGAAAAACTACTACTCAGCTGTGGGCCACTATTACCTAAAACTGTGTCTATTAATGCAGATTGTCTGTCGTTCTCACTACTTTGAGGAAAGATGTGTTTTACCAATGTTTATATCAGTCATTCATGCTAGAGCTCGACTAATGTATGCATTGCATACCTGCACTGTTATTGATACAGATTCCACATGTTCACAGCAATATATTACAAAAATACGTATCACTGAGAAACGTACTGCTCAAGTCGTCCTTGCGATAGAGGTTCGGGTTGAATAAACAGTTCTTCCAATATTTCATCATTGCACACGCGATTGATATGGTAAAATCGACGTCATTGTTTTTTACTGTCTTTAGTTTACGGTGTAGGAAGCCTCAGGACAATTTAATTTGTTACATTTACATAGGGCTTTTTCTGGGATCTCAAAGCGCTTCACATATGGAAGGGGGATGATGCGACGGCAGCCATATTGCTCCAGAAAGCCCAACACACACCAGCTTACTGGTGGAGAGGAGACAGAAATGAAGCCAATCAGTATATAGGGATGATTAGGAGGCCATGATAACAGGTTTATGTAACGCAATTTCAATTCTCTGTATATATGTACTGTACATGGAGTAGAACTGACAATAAAGCATACTTACTACTTACTTACCTACTTACTACTACAGAGGCCAAGGGAAAAATTTGGCCAGGATGCCAGGATCACATCCTGGCACCTAACCCTAACCCTAACCCTAACCCTGTCTTTTTCGAAATACATCCTGGAATTTTTAATGACCACAGAGAGTCTCGGTTTAACGTCTAATCGAAGGACGGTGCTCTAGTGTCCCCATCACTACACTGGGGTGTTAGGACCTACAGACCACAGGCTGAGCGCCCCCTGCTGGCCTCACTAACACCTCTTCCAGCAGCAACATGGTTTTCCCAGGAGTCTCCCATCCAGGCACTGACCCGGCTCAACCCTGCTTAGCTTCAGTGGGCAACCAGTCTTGGGCTACAGGGTACAGGGATATGGCTGCTGGCAAAAGCAGAGCTGATGTTGTTTTGGCAATGTGTGTTTTAGTTTTCTACGCACGCGCTGTACGCTGCAAGCCAATCACAACAGCCTGAGCTGTCTGGCCAATCAGAGCAGAGTAGCTCGTGGAAAGGAGGGACGATGGTCGTTTAAGAATCATTGAAAATGTGGTGATGTGCAAATGTATATTATGAAGAAATTAAACAGTTTTTTGACCTTTGATGATGTGCTCCAAAACAACAACAGGAACTTTAAAATAGCAAAATAGGGTCATGTTAAGCACATGCAAATATCGTACTCACCTGTCCGTGTAGGTCACCTGTAGATTTCCCTGCTTCAAACTTCAGCGCCAGGCCAAAGTCAGCCATACAGGCGGTTAAATCGCTCTTCAGTAACACATTCTTACTTTTGATATCTCTGAGAGAGAGAGAGAAAGAGAGAGAGAGAATAACAATCACAAAAATAACTCTTCTCTCCTAACCCAACAGTAACCTGGACAACAAATGATGACACACACTGCCTTCTGACTGGGGGATGCAAACCAGTTCTGGGGTCCGTGAAAAAGGTTAGAGAATAGTGTAAATAAAAATAAAGTCAATAAATAAGTAAACATATAAATAATTATATAAATAAATAATTCCCCCAACAGTACATTACTATGAGTAGACAGTTTTCTCTATTTTTTTTACAGTATAGTCTTTATACAGGAAACAAAATAGATGACTGTTCAAAATGAGGATGGGGTCCTCACACAAGAATGATGATATTCAGGCCTCTAAAAGACAGATCTGTACCTGTGTGCAATGGCAGGCTTGTGTCCATCCTTCAGGTTGGGTATGTCCTCATGTAAATATGCCAAGCCGCACACAAACGTTTGCGCTATCAGGCATAGCTCATTCCAGGACACAACATTAGCCTTCAGGAAGTCTGTCAACGAGCCCTGAGTGTATACACACACACACACACACATGATATCATCAACAGGACTCAGTCTAACATGTCACCATCAAACCAAAACTAATCATTTTTATTTTTTTATGTAATAAATGATTTATCCATATAATTTTTTTAATTCATGTGCCTTGTAAACTTTAATCAAAAACATATCCATATATACTGCCCCTTTCCCACGCAGCATCTCATCTCAACAAATTATCAAAACAACAACAAGCCAATCAGTTCCCGTGAGCCGTAAGTCCCGCCAGACATTTTTTTCTCCTTCCAAAAGTAGTTTCACTCAGATATACTTCCCAATGGGCTATATGCACGCATAAATTCCGCATTTGACGCAAGGATGCTCGTCCATTTCCGGTTGTGGGGATTAAAGCGGAGGAAAACCGAGGAAAACGGGATTATGGCAGAGTCTTCAAAATTTACTGTCCTCCAGTCTTTGAAATGAAACGTACATACGTTTAGATGCAATTTTATATATAGTTATATTTATTTTATATAATTTTAAAAAGAAGCATAAACACAACGAGGGGTGTCTGTTTTATCTGTTTTTGTGACTAACGTTTCTTTATTATAACCATGGAGTATAAAATTCAATATAAATTCTCAGTATTGCATTGGACTCTACGATCGGCGGAAGTTATCGAGCATCCCTAATCCTTCACCGGAAATGCCGCCGTGCATAGAGCCCATAGGGAAGTATGATCACAATTTCCATTTCATACAAAATACAAAACATTTATCATTGTATACTGTGTACTACAAATTTGTCAAAGATTAGGGATTAAACACTTTACAGTATGCAGTAATCACTATCTACTGTGAGTGTAGCTGATGACAGACACTTGCATGATGATGTTCACAGGTGTGTGTGTTTATGTACCTTCTCATGGTACGCTGTGATGAGCCAGAGCTCTATATCCACTCCGCTTCCTCTTTTTTCTGCTCCAATGAAGTGAAGGATATTTTCATGCTTCATTCCACTCACACTATAAATCTCATATTCATTCTGCCATGACTGCTTATTCTGAGAGAGATCACAAACAAAAACATGCAAAATTACCCACATTCAAAATCATTGTAAAATAGTCAATAAGCGCAATAACTTAGTTCTTGAAGTGGACCAGCACTTCTACATTTTAATCTGTATCGGACTCTCACTTTATTACTTCTCACATGTTGCAGTACTCTGACTGCCCACACCGAAACATAGAATTGGGGCCTGGCTCTTCATTAAAGGTGTTATATGTATATGTTTTTTAGTGGCCTCTATCAGTGATGTTTCAGATTGCAAACAATTTTTACAAGAACGCTTGTGCTCTTGCGCGTGCTCAAACACAAGAGTGATCACTCACGGTACACGGCCACACTGAGACTTTACACACACCGGAGACAGCATCACACAACACACTGGAAACTCATGTAAACTCCCACTGCAACGCTACAATAACAGGCTACTGTTATCCGCTTGACTGAACTAATGCTCCATGCTCACCATGATCACGCTACATGTGTGGTGTTATCTAGCATAAGGCATTTCACTAACTATTCGTGTATCTTTTACAATCAGCAATGTCAACATAGGTGAATGTAAAAAATGATAAGGAAAATGGTCAGTGAACTAGACTGAACAATTTCAGTGTAACAGTAAGATCGTAGGAAGTACTGTAACATTACTGTACTGAATGTGTCTGGAAAAGTGTATTATAAACAATATGATAGTAGTGGATGAGTGATGAATACATCGTGTAGATCTAGTACATAGAATAAAAGTTACTAAAGCACCTACTTTTTGTTATCCTGGAACAGTCTTTTGTGTTCATTTCATGTCTCATATATGTTATAGTTTACCTTGATATTTCATTACAGTTTACCATTATTTCAGCATATCTGAAAACTTGTCATTTATCACAATAAAAATAGTGGAGGTCTCTCCATAATTCAGACGCTCAGCCAATGTTGATCTTCTCTACTCCCACTGCTCTTCTCCCCACTGCTCTTCTCCCCACTGCTCTTCTTCCCACTGCTCTTCTCCTCACTCCCAATGACTCTACTCCACACTGCTCTTCTCCCCACTGTTGCAATCCCACTGCTCTTCTCCCACTTCTCTACTCCCCACTGCTCTACTCCCCACTGCTCTTCTCCTCACTCCCACTCCACTGCTCTTCTCCCCACTGCTCTACTCCCCACCACTGTCTCCCCACTGCTGTTCTCCCCACTGCTCTTCTCCCACTGCTCTTCTCCCCACTGCTCTTCTTCCACTGCTCTTTTCCCCACTCCCAATGACTCTACTCCACACTGCTCTACTCCCACTGCTCTTCTTCCCACTGCTCTACTCCTCACTCCCAATGACTCTACTCCACACTGCTCTTCTTCCCACTGTTGTAATCCCACTGCTCTTCTCCCACTTCTCTACTCCCCACTGCTCTACTCCCCACTGCTCTTCTTCCCACTGCTCTTCTCCTCACTCCCACTCCACTGCTCTTCTCCCCACTGCTCTACTCCCACCACTGTCTCCCCACTGCTGTTCTCCCCACTGCTCTTCTCCCCACTGCTGTTCTCCCCACTGCTCTTCTCCCCACTGCTCTTCTTCCCACTGCTCTTCTCCTCACTCCCACTCCACTGCTCTTCTCCCCACCACTGTCTCCCCACTGCTGTTCTCCCCACTGCTCTTCTCCCCACTGCTCTTCTTCCCACTGCTCTTCTCCTCACTCCCACTCCACTGCTCTACTCCCCACCACTGTCTCCCCACTGCTGTTCTCCCCACTGATCTTCTCCCCACTGCTCTTCTCCCCACTGCTCTTCTCCCACTGCTCTACTCCCCACTGCTCTTCTCCCCACTGCTCTACTCCCCACCACTGTCTCCCCACTGCTCTTCTCCCCACTGATCTTCTCCCCACTGCTCTTCTCCCCACTGCTCTTCTCCCCACTGCTCTTCTCCCCACTGCTCTACTCCCCACCACTGTCTCCCCACTGCTCTTCTCCCCACTGATCTTCTCCCCACTGCTCTTCTCCCCACTGCTCTTCTCCACTGCTCTTCTCCCCACTGCTCTTCTCCCCACTGCTCTTCTCCCCACTGCTCTTCTCCCACTGCTCTACTCCCCACTGCTCTACTCCCACTGCTCTTCTCCCACTGCTCTTCTCCCACTGCTCTACTCCCACTGCTCTTCTCCCACTGCTCTTCTCCCACTGCTCTACTCCCACTGCTCTACTCCCACTGCTCTACTCCCACTGCTCTACTCCCCACTGCTCTACTCCCACTGCTCTACTCCCACTGCTCTACTCCCCACTGCTCTACTCCCACTGCTCTTCTCCCACTGCTCTTCTCCCACTGCTCTACTCCCACTGCTCTACTCCCACTGCTCTACTCCCCACTGCTCTTCTCCCCACTGCTATACTCCCACTGCTCTACTCCCACTGCTCTACCCCCCACTGCTCTTCTCCCCACTGCTCTACTCCCACTGCTCTTCTCCCCACTGCTCTTCTCCCCACTGCTCTTCTCCCACTGCTCTTCTCCCACTGCTCTTCTCCCCACTGCTCTACTCCCACTGCTCTACTCCCACTGCTCTACTCCCACTGCTCTTCTCCCCACTGCTCTTCTCCCACTGCTCTACTCGCACTGCTCTACTCCCCACTGCTCTTCTCCCCACTGCTCTACTCCCCACCACTGTCTCCCCACTGCTCTTCTCCCCACTGATCTTCTCCCACTGCTCTTCTCCCCACTGCTCTTCTCCCACTGCTCTACTCCCCACCACTGTCTCCCCACTGCTCTTCTCCCCACTGATCTTCTCCCCACTGCTCTTCTCCCACTGCTCTTCTCCCACTGCTCTACTCCCACTGCTCTTCTCCCCACTGCTCTTCTCCCCACTGCTCTTCTCCCACTGCTCTTCTCCCCACTGCTCTTCTCCCCACTGCTCTTCTCTTCACTGCTCTTCTCCCCACTGCTCTACTCCCACTGCTCTTCTCCCACTGCTCTACTCCCCACTGCTCTTCTCCCACTGCTCTTCTCCCACTGCTCTTCTCCCCACTGCTCTACTCCCACTGCTCTACTCCCACTGCTCTTCTCCCCACTGCTCTACTCCCCACTGCTCTACTCCCCACTGCTCTACTCCCACTGCTCTACTCCCACTGCTCTTCTCCCACTGCTCTTCTCCCACTGCTCTTCTCCCCACTGCTCTTCTCCCCACTGCTCTTCTCCCACTGCTCTTCTCCCACTGCTCTTCTCCCCACTGCTCTACTCCCACTGCTCTACTTCCACTGCTCTTCTCCCCACTGCTCTACTCCCACTGCTCTACTCCCACTGCTCTTCTCCCACTGCTCTTCTCCCACTGCTCTACTCCCACTGCTCTACTCCCCACTGCTCTTCTCCCCACTGCTCTACTCCCCACCACTGTCTCCCCACTGCTCTTCTCCCCACTGATCTTCTCCCCACTGCACTTCTCCCCACTGCTCTTCTCCCCACTGCTCTACTCCCCACCACTGTCTCCCCACTGCTCTTCTCCCCACTGATCTTCTCCCCACTGCTCTTCTCCCACTGCTCTTCTCCCACTGCTCTACTCCCACTGCTCTTCTCCCCACTGCTCTTCTCCCACTGCTCTTCTCCCACTGCTCTTCTCCCCACTGCTCTTCTCCCCACTGCTCTTCTCCCCACTGCTCTTCTCCCACTGCTCTACTCCCACTGCTCTTCTCCCACTGCTCTACTCCCCACTGCTCTTCTCCCACTGCTCTTCTCCCACTGCTCTTCTCCCCACTGCTCTACTCCCACTGCTCTACTCCCACTGCTCTACTCCCACTGCTCTTCTCCCCACTGCTCTACTCCCACTGCTCTTCTCCCCACTGCTCTTCTCCCCACTGCTCTTCTCCCACTGCTCTTCTCCCACTGCTCTTCTCCCCACTGCTCTACTCCCACTGCTCTACTCCCACTGCTCTTCTCCCCACTGCTCTACTCCCACTGCTCTACTCCCACTGCTCTTCTCCCACTGCTCTTCTCCCACTGCTCTTCTCCCCACTGCTCTACTCCCACTGCTCTACTCCCACTGCTCTTCTCCCCACTACTCTTCTTTTAACTTGCAACCATGCATTTTTGTGTCAATTTGTGATAATAGGTCTCCTGACTGATTTATTGTGTATTTATATATTTTAAAATATTTAGATAAGTATGTTTAATAATAATGTTTAATTTATATAGCATCTTTCCTAAGCTCAAAGATGCTCCACAAAGAGCAGTGATACAACAATTAATCGATACTAAATAGCAATTATATGTATGATGGACATTTGCCCAGTCCAGAACAAGAACTAATGTAGTTGCATATAGCAGTAATTGTGCAAATATTTAAATAAATAAAAGAGAAACATAGCATTATGTCATGTAGACAACACAGAAGGTTGACCATATAGACAAACAAAACACAATAAGCCATAAGCAATAGACATAGAGCAAATGCACAATATGATTAGTAATATTGGGATAACCCTTTCTGGTGACTAGTTTGGTGCAAAAATAAATATGAATGTGATTTACAATACAATGGCATGATCACTATCATTTACATCTTGAATGCTGAATTGGTTTTCAAAATATTACAAAAACAATCATTTAAGACTAGAAATATAAATGTTTAAAATAAGTCTCCAGTAAAATGAAGTCTATTTTCAGGCTGAATTAATTGCAGTCACTTATGTTTTTGGGTTAGAGATTTACAACAAACCAGAATGTTTGAGGAATATTCATATTCAAGAGCACAACAGTAAACCACTCTAGTTTTGAGTTACAGCATGCAGGCGAACATGTCTTAACTATGGTAAAATTGCTTATGGCTTACTGCTAAATTCCAAACATTAAAGCCTTGAAAATATTTTCTATACTGAAGCTGAAGAGGCATGTGCAAATAGTAATGGAATCTCTCAGAGACCTGGACAGGGAAGATTTTGATCGCCACCGGTTGGTCGAGCAGCTGAGCCTTCCAGACGCAGCCGAAGCGTCCTCGAGCCTTGACCTCTAACAGTTGAAGAGGCTTCTGGCCCAACAGAGGAGACGGGGGCATCAGTCCGGGATCCTGAACACAACACACACACACACACACACCAATCACTGATGAGACTCTCCACACAAACACACCCATCACTGCTGAGACTTTCCTGCAGACACACACAAAAACACACGAGCAGCGTCTGATGAGTGAGAAAGAACGAAAAAAAAGAAAGGAAGAGCCCATTTACAGACAACAGCAACCGCATCACAAACTCACGAAAGAGGATGAAAACACAGCATCAGCATGGCAGGATGGGAGAGTGAATGAAGCGCTTACCTCTATCATGATATGAAAGGCGCGCTAACAAAAGATGAAGAGAGGGATTTCACTGTTTCTAGCACACAAGCGCTGTGACGAGAGCAAGAACGAGCTCAAAATCATCTCAGCATGAGCATGAGAAAGGGAAATATTGATGTGGTGTCTGTGAAAGATTCTCATTTGCCACAATGAGAAACACACACACACCTAGCTAACTAAAAAAGATTATTTTGTTTTTATATAAATCTTTTGTCGTGTTTGAAATTCTTAAAGTATTAAAATAATTCAAAATAATTACCTAAAAATATTAATAAAAAAGAAATATAAAAATAGAATTGTATATCAATGGCACTAAAATATAACTGAATTGACATGCAAAATGTTCTAAAATATTAAGACTTAATTATATTAAAAACAGTTTTATGTAGAGTTTAATATAAGAGTTTATACTTAACATAAGAAAGGAAAAAAAAAACTTTTCTTGTTTAAACTTTTCTTGAAAACTTGTTTCTGAGTAAGAAAATCACTTTTATCAGTGAAACACTGGTGAAACGCCACCAATTGGTACAATAGTTGATTGTTGTTATTATGAATGACCAGCAACAAAACACAGCAACACTATTTTGCAGTGTCCTTGTTACATATGTTCCTGTACTTTCTGTAGTAATAACAGTATATAATCCATAATTATACGCAGTGGCGTGCACAGACCTCCTCAGGGACAGAGGGACCAAGAAGGGCACTAAACATTGTTTTGTTGTTGTTGTTGTTTTTATTCTTTCTTTCCTTGGCATTCTAAGAAAATATGTTGATACAATTAAAATGCATAACACATCAAATGAAAACAGGGAAAGGATGATATTACTAAATATTATTTACTTTACCAAACAAAACAGTGTTAATCAAGAAGGTAATTATGGTAGATTTTTTTTTTTATGTTATAAATGTAATATAAATGTAGTATGTATGATATGTATGAAAGTGTTAGCTATCATGAATCAGTAACACTTTACAATAAGGTTTCATTAGTTAAATAAGTTATTATTAAATAATAATGAACTGCACTTTCACAGCATTTATTAATCTTAGTCAATATTAATTTCAGCATTTACTAAAACATTAAAATCAAAAGTTGTATTTGTTATCATTAGTTAATGCACTGACTGTGACATAACATGAATAAACAATTAACAGTTGTATTGTTAACTAAAATTAACAAATACAGTAACAAATGTGTAGCTCATGGTTTGTTCATTCATGAAAAAATGAACAAATTAACCTTATTGTAAAGCGTTACTATGAGATATAAAGAATACAAAGATATAAATTCCTTAGAATTTAGAGTTGGACATGGACTTAAGATTTCATTTAACTATATATATTTTCCAAGCTAATAACACTTGCTAAGGCTTGGCTAAAAACGAATGACATTGTTATTCAGAATGCGTCTGAAATCGAGTTATACCTTTATTATAGTTAGGCATAACTCGCATGCTGCCGCAACTTTTAGAGCAGCATGGTAGGGTAAATGTAATTTCCTGTCGCTTTAATGTGCTGCTCGTTTGAAGACCCGCGCGAACTGCTACGCAGTGGGCACCTGAAGAACCGTTAAATGGGCATGTGGCGCTTCAAAGGAAACTCCGCCTACTACTTCTCCGACAATTTATCTTTATTTATAATTTTGTATTATTATTGTTAATGGCAAGGGTGTGTAATTGTATTGTTATTTATTATAATGTTTATAATAATTATTATTATTATTTAAAATAATCAGAAAGGGCACAATATGTTTTAAAGGGATACTCCCCTTTTTTGGAAATAGCCTCATTTTACAACTCGACTTCATAGCCAATGAGACCAGAAACGGTCAGGTTACAGATATTCTTATCAGAAAATCATCTGAATGGATTCGAAAATGGTAAAACTCAACTGTTTAACTCTGGGGGAGTTGTAAAATGAGCCTATTTCCAAAAAAGTGGAGTATCCCTTTAAAACAAAAGGTGTAGGGGCTTAAGCCCAACCCCGCCCCCCGTGCACGCCACTGATTATATGCAAATAACCCTACACCAAACCCTAACCCTACAGTGAGTAATGTTGTTACTTAATATTACTTTGTTTTTAAATGTAACAAGGACACCTTAAAATACAGTGTAAACCAAAAGACATATGACTACGCGTTTATAACAGGTTTAATTTCACAGTGACATGAGAGAGTCCCGAACGCTCCAAACATGCGTCTCAGAGTTGATCTCTTGAACACAAAGATCTTTCACAGATATTGATTTTGATCCTGAAGTACCTGAGACGGCACGAGCAGCGGCGGATACGACAGCTTCAGATGCCGGTACATCCAGAACGAGATGAAGAGAATCACAGCGACAGCCATGATGGGAATCAGAGAGTAGAGCATTGTGGGAAAGGGGTCCGGCTTCGGGCTGACAGGGTTCGATGTGGCTGGACACAAGAATTTACTGAAAATGGGACACTTTTACAAATATGGACATTTACAAAGCCCGGAAACTATACTATATGCAGTTCTATTTTAGAAACAACAACATACAAACTATGACAATAATAATCTCATGTACTGATTATGTGCTTTATTTAATGTTAAAAGCGTCAAATGCGAGTTTGAATATAATTTATAGCCGTAGTGAAAGAACAATGGATAATTGACCTCAGAAGATCATGAAAATAAATGAAAGGAAACAAGAATGTTCAAACTGTGAACAAACGAGTGTATTCTATGACAACAATGGTTTCAGTCACTCAGTATGTATTTTTAATAATGTTGAAATGGTGTAGTATTTATGAATTTGATCCATTATCATTAAGCTGGGAGTGCCGAGAGACTCCGCCCACCAGTCTTCTGATTGGCTGTGATTTGTGATTGATTGGTTGTCACATCTGCTGTGGACAGCCTTGTTGCTGGACTGATTGCATGTCGTTTGGTTAGGAAACGTTGCTCCTGCTGAGCAGATTCTGTTTATGTACTGATCTTATTTTAGAGGCGGCCTTTGCAATTGGGTGGCCCGTTTCAAAGAAACAGTTGGAGACCCCATAAGAAAAGCATTTCTGATGCTTCTGATTTCTGTGAGGCCTGTCTGAAGTGAAACGGGTGATAACGGTATAAAGACAGGGGCGTAATTTGCGGGCGGGACATGTTTTTGCCAGGTTTAAAAGCTCTCGCGGCACGGATAGCTAACAGTAGGAATAAATAAAACATCTCCAACTGGCAGACCAGTCATTTCGTTCGTTTGTAAAATAAAAGAAGCGATCTAGCCCTGAAATACGCTGTTTTTTTAAATCAAGTGATGAAAGTGCTCCTTGCCGCCTGCGATCGGTGGCGCGGTTACAGTGTATCTCGTGGCTGCATGTCGCGCTTCAATCCGTTTCGGAGACTATTTTGTTCGTTCCGGTGCAGAGCACGTGAGTGGAGCGGGCGGATCTTGGACAGAGCGCAGAGGGGCATTTTTAAAGGACGGAGCGTCGCCCTATTTCCCGCTTTAATTGCGCTCCGCTCACACCACGAGTCTGACTACATTTCTTTTCCCCGCCTGGCTAAAGAAGCATCCCAAGCGGATCTGCAAGGGCAGAGAGGGTTTTCTCCGCAACCACCGCGTGAGTCTGAAGCCTCAGACATTGTCCAAACTTGTGTTCTTGAAGGTGAGCTCAAAAGAACTGTAGATAAGGAAAGCAATTCATTTTCTTTCTTTCTTTCTTTCTTTCTAAAAGTTTGACAACATAAGCCATTTAAATTGTAATCCATGTGCACTCTCCGCAAAAGTTCAGTTATACGAATTTTGGCCTAATAGTTCATTTAGCATATTACTTTTAAAACGTTGATGTAGCCTACAGTAGGCCTATAGCCTGTATATTTTTATTTATATATAATTAGGCCCATTGATTCGTTTCATTTTACAGCATTTTTTGTACAATTGATATAAGCATACTTTTGTTTTATTTGTGAGCGCTGTGCAAAAGTTTAGTTATCAAAATGTTGGCCTAATAGTTAATTTACTTTTTAAATTTACTTTTAAAATGTTTATGTAGGCATTTATTATTTTATTTTTTTATATTTTTGTTTAATACAGGTCTTTATTTATCTTTATTTATATTATTAGGCCCATTTGTTCATTTAATTGTACTGCAGTTTGTGTGTACAATGGAGAGGCTATAAGCCAATTTAAATTTTAATCATGCGCGTTCCGCAAAAAAAAAAAAAAAAAAAAACAGTTATCAAAATTCTGGCCTAATAGTTAATTTACTTTTAAAACTTTTATGTATATTTTTCTTTATATAATTTTTATTCATATTATTAGGTCAATTATTCGTTTAATTTCACAGGACTTTCTGTATAGGTTATTCCACTGGACATCTTGTAAAGTCGGATCTATATTTTTATTCACGTGTCACGTGATTCATTCATTTTATACACATGTCCCACCCACTTTTTAAAACAAAGTTAGGCCACTGTATAAAGATGTCTGTCTGCAGCTTCTCGTCGAACACCTGGGGGTTAAAACTCACTCTGAAGAGTCTCTGGACTGTAGAGAAACCTGTCGTTGCACATGTTCCCCTCACAGCAGCAGAAGAAGACATCAGGATTCTCCTTACGCTCCACACACTCACTGCTGCACACACACACACACACAGAGAGAACGTGTTTTCATCATTGATCACCACAGGCACACACACACACAGCGAATGCAACACACCTGTCGTAGCAGTTGACGTCATCGAGCCAGCATCCCTGCTTCACCATCTCGATGGTTCCTGAGCGGTTCTTCCAGGTGGAGAAACAGTGTCGGCGTTTGTCCTTTTCTCCATAACACGACTCGATTCCACTCCGGTTCGTGCCGTCCTTTTCCCAGCTCGCATTATAAAACACACATTCCTGCGTCTCCGAGCGCCCCAGAATCGCACCTGAACCAAACATATCTTACGTTGTCCATGTGTGGGTTTAACCAACATAACAGAGGCTGCTTAAAACCTCACCTGCTTATAAATCTTAAGGTGGAAATTAAGCAGTCAGTCAAGTTAACATCATTTTCCATATTTAACATAATTTTCACTCTAATCAAAACTGATGTAACAAACATCATAAATGAAACCATTTAAAAGATAAAAAGCTGTCTTGTTATAGCTTTTGTAGCAAATCTTGCAGAACTACAGCCTGTGGTGTCGTGTGTTAGCAAAGGATTCGAGTCATTTGATCATTTTAGAGCTTTTAGAAATGATTATCCATGCTCCATGCTCTCTTTGTGAAGAAAATAGCATGTTTGATTCAACAGCTGGATGTCTAACAACACAATACTCCAATAATAAAACACAACAAGATGCAAAAAAATGTGTGTTTGTCACAATGCATTCTGGGATTGCCTGCTTGAAGTCCCGGTGAACCGCAAGTTGCAAATGACTTTTCTCCAGAGTTGTGGCGTATTTCCAAGTGAAACTGAATATTGAGAGAAGGCAGGGTTAGACTTTAGCGTGGGGTAAACCCATCCTATGAAACATAACCCATCTCCGCCTCCGCATCGCTCGCTCACAGCAGACTGACGCATATAGAGGAGAGGTTACGCCTTTTCTAACCCTAACGCTGTTGACTTAACGTTACATTATTGTATATATAAATATATGACCTACCCCAAACCCGTCCATAAACCTACCCATCACTGGGGTTAATACCATTTATGAGTCTTCCCCTACTGTCTTTTTTACTTTGTTTCGCTCGGACATTTAACGGCTTGTACAGACACGCATACACGCGCACGCAGATAGCTCAAAATGCGTATAGATAACACGCGACTCGACTTAAAAATGGTGTGTATGTTTACGCTAAAGTAATGATGTCATGTTGACTAGAGCAATTGCAACTGTAATCTCAGTCATTTTGAGATTATAGCTCTGAACATCAGACATGTAATATTTGTGTGTCGATATCTGGCTTAGGCTCAGTATCTACTATAGGACTGCAATTCTTTACAGAATTTAATAAACAAACTCAGACTTTATTGTAAATCAGCTCTTCTAAAAACCCAGAGGAAATTCCTGATGGAAGCCATGGTTAATTAGTCTTCAGGGTTGGCAAATTGGCATCATGGCTGAACTTAAAATATATATATTTAAAGTTATATTTTGGGCATTATGCCTATGTTGGATAGGACACTGAAGGAGAGACAGGAATTGATAGGGAAGGGACACAGGACCGGGAAAAGACCACGAGACAGGGAGAGTTACGCTGTATGTTGGAGCCCATATAAGACTATGAATCCACAAGAACTGCTCTACTGTAAGGGTTAGGGTTAGGGTACCAGCCCGGCTCCCTGATCACCGTCATATTTACTCTCTTGCTTTGAGATTCAGTTCATTCAAATTCTTTAGTTTCTTGTGAGGATCTGAATCTCTGTCTGTCTTTGCTTTCCAATGCTTCGAGAGTCTATAACTCCTCAGTCTTGAACACGTTGGAGCCCAAACGGCCGGACGGAGGCACATCTGTCTGACACACACATCTGTCTGACACACACATCTGTCTGACACACACACACATCTGTCTGAAACAAATGTGGGTGGATTTCACCTGAAAACGTTCAAGAACAAATAAGAAATTATAATTTAAAGCTTATTTTTGCATGTTTTATTTTCATGACACTAAAGCACATATACCCACAAATCCTCAATACTGCCATGTGAAATGTGATGTCTCAATTATTTTATCATTAAAATATTTGCAATATTATTTGAATGTCCTTTCATTTATGTTAAATGGAGAAATAAATATAGCATATTTGCAGTATTGTAATAATGAGAATGTAATTGGAATTACATACATTTTAAAAATGAAAAAAATGGGGGGGGGGGGGGGGTGCTGAATTGTAATGAAAATAATATTCACAATGCAAAAAATCCTTGTTCTAAAAAAATTCTTTTTTATGCTTTGCATCGACTGCATATGAGGGAGAATGTCTTTGATGGACCGTGAGCTGCGTGAGGTTTGCTGGAGGATTTGCTCGGCGACTGTAACCTTGGCATAAGACTGTGTGAGCCCTACAGCTTATGTTTAAAGAGGATGAGGGCTGACCTTTGACCTATTTCAGGGCTGGTGGAGCGAAGAGAAAGGACTGGAGTTAACCGTGCTCACGATTAATACAGTAAACGCTTCACCTGTCTCTTCCGATCGCTTTTGCGCATCACTCGTGTTTTCAGACGGTTTCCCAGACATTCCTCACGCCAGGCTGCTGAAAACTAACTCAGCAATATTTTTAAAAAGTGCCAGAAAGTCAATCTACAAATAACTTGCTTAAAATATAATGTCTAGGACTTACGAGTCATTTGTACTCTTGACAGATAATTTAAAAACATATACATCAATAATAACTCCAGATATCAGTATGAGATACTGAAAAAAACATAATCAGACCACTCATTTTAATTATTACAAAAATGACAATTCACCTTTAAAGCACAAAAGCCAAACACACAATTGTGAAACTCTTTAATCCAGTGCAGCAGAAAGTCAATGCATACTGGTCTTTAATGGCATTAGACTTATTCTGGCGTCAGACTCTGTAACCTTGAGCGTTTGGACATCTTTAAAAAGACCAGTATAGGGGCTAATCTGACCAACATCTGACCAAAGACGACCAGGACCATTCTCAGAGACCGAGTTTCTGCCCACGTCTACACTCTTCATCTCACTACACACACACACACACACACACAGCAAACACTGAACCTCATCATCTGAGGATCTGGAGATGCTGTTCACATGAAAAGATCCACACACTTTGCTAAAAATAAGATTACAACAATTCAGCCATGTCATGTCTTCAAGATACAAACTCATGATGCATTTAAAAAAAGAAAGAAGGAGGGAGGAGAAGGAGGGAACCTTTCTGGATAAAGAATAAAGAAGTTTTCCAGATTTGTCAAGGCTAATAACAGGACAAATTCACTCCTGATGAAGTTTATGAGAAAGAACCTTTAGAATAATGAAAACAACAACTACAGGATGGATTTGAGTAGATCAGTAAAATGTATGAATTATTAAAACAACCCTGTATCTTTAATTTTGCAATCTAGCCAAGCAGAAGAGTTAAAAACTCTTATAAGTTCATCCTGATTGGCTTCATGAGATGTTGCACATCAATGTCCTGTAGGACTCAATAATCCACATCATTACAGCATTTCTACATAGGCAAGGTTTTGGGCGGGTTAAATAAATGAACACTTTAATTCAGCAGGAAAGCATTAGGCTATATTTATCAGACAGCAAATGCATTTACAACATTACAAAATAAAATGCTGTCCTGAAAAAACAAAGTGTATGACGGTTTCCACAGAAATCTGAAGCAGCACAACTGTGTTCAACATTGATAAAATACTAAATGTTTCTTGATCATCAGATCCTCATATTAGAGTGATTTCTGAAGGGTCATGTGACACTGAAGACTGAAGTAATGATGATAAATTACACTTTACTGTATATTCACATAGAGAACAGATGATTTACACTGGAGTAATATTTCACTGTTTTTACTGTATTTATGATCTAATAAATGCAGTTTGATTTGACTTTATCTATACACTTCCATAGATACTCTTTGCATGAAGAATGAAGTCATTTTACTAACAAAATGGGATTTAATATTTAAAGACCAAAACAGATATGCTCTTTAGAACAAACCTTGCAGTGAATATAAACACTTTTAGTTATTTTAAAAATTCCTCACTGACTAACAAGTAAAATCATGGTCAGGTAAGATAACTATACAGACGAGAGCTTTGTTTGAGAAGTGCACAATCATAGTGGAGCAAATTAACATCAGCTGTACTTCTGTAAGATGAAACACACTCCTTGTGTGTCTGGGAAAAGCTCTAAATGAATCCGAAACAGCTTGAGAAAGCATGTAACACACAGAAACCATGACCAATACTTGTCGACAGGCTGTAGCTGTGCAGTTCATATAGCATAAACACGCAGAAATCTCCACCTACCTGATGAACAGGAGACGAGGAATATGGCCAAGGCCAGTTTGGTGCCTGTCCTCATTTTCAGTGCAGATTCTTCTACTGTAATAAATCCCAAGCTGATAATCCACTCCCTCTAAATGTAATGTTTTAATATTGCCAAAAGCATTTATTTGTGAGCAAACAGGTCCGGATCAATGTGTAAGTCTGTAAGAGAGGTTTAGTGTTTGAGAGATTTGACAAATCCTCAGCCTGGAGGTTTCTATGGATGAAATATCAAACATTAATACAACCATACTGTAACAGCAGCATGTCCACTTCACACTGGAAATATGTTCTTAAACTTATTGATCAGAATTGATCACATACAGAAACAGCTCGTTTTGAGTTTTTATTTCCATTCATGATTCATTCAGGTCCAAAAACATCCCGAGGCGATCTTCTGATTCTTTTAAAATGATTAAAATAGATCTGAAGATTCATATAATCATAGTCATCGTCATTCCAGAACACAAGAATATAAATCCAGTTCAGGGTTTAAACATTATGACCACCCAAAAAAAAAAAACATCAAATAAAAAGAGTGTATTTCATAGTGTCGGATAAACTATGTTCCCCGTATAATCCCATGCGCGTCTGGAATGATCCAGGATCAGATGAAACAGGTTAAATCTCCCGTATGCGCTGAAACCCCTCAGATGTGTCTATATATTCTCTCGTGTTTCCTCAACACAACATGGCGAACACCGCTGAGTGTTTTGGTTTTTTGCTCTCCTCCACTCCTCCTCCTTTCATCCACTCCTCCTTCTCCTCCTCTTTTCCACACCATCCTTGAACCGCGATGTTTCCACTCGGTGTTGTTCATCTGTTTCTCCGCCAGGTGGCGCACGGTGGCCCACAATGCCGCATTCCTCTTGAGCAGAACTCACTTCTCGTGACGGTTTTTGTCTTACTGCAAACATGTGAAAGCTAAAACGTTGAATCTATTTTATACGATATTTGCAAGGATTGGTAGGTAGCAAGCACATTTAAATCTACAGTCTGCCATCACTATAAAATTATTTTTTTAAACGACTACTTAGTAATCAGAAACGACTGTGATTGGTCCAAACATACCGCGCTGAGAAACCAAATGAGAAAGGTAACAGTAATCACGTGACCTCGGCGTCTTCTCTGATCTACACAAGCATAGAAGTCATATACTAGAAACCCTATTGGCCACAAGTACGTCTTAACATACCGTAGCCTACTATTGGTTGCATTTTGTGAATAGAATATTACCTGATAATCGAGCAGGAGCAAGGATATTTGCTATTAGTGTACTGAAATCGTTGTGAAATGTTGTTTACTGTTCACCTGGCTGAGAGGTGGGGTAACTGTTAAAGTAATACGAGCTTTTAGGTTATCAGATAAGCATTCAACTGCCCTGTTGTATAGACCATTTCACAAGATGTAAACAACACTGGTCCAGAAGCACTTCCTGTTTTAGTTTTTAACACTACATATAAGCTGGGATAAAATACAACCAACAGAACATTTAAAACTGAATCAAAAAGTTCAAACAAACATCTTTAAGATGTTTTCTTTACATGTGAAATAAAGAAAACTGAAACAGGAAGTGTTTCTGGACCAGTGTGGTCTATATAGGCAAGGTTATTTAATTGTGTTTGCGCACATGTGATCAGGAAGCAATGTAAGCTAACTACGCATGACAGAGATGCGCAAATTGAGTTACCCCTCCAACTTCTAGTTTTATTGATAACGTATATCTTATCACATGCGATTTGGCTATTGATATTACAGAAGTCCTGTGGTAAAATTGCATTATTAACTTACTCCATCTACCCTTATAAAGTTAATCAGAATATGTCTTTAGTCTCGACATTTTCCCCTCCCACATACAATAAATAGGTATAGGCTTAATGTTGTCCAAATTTAATTTTTAGAAATTACTGATGAAAACACGTTGAAAATCTTTTCAATTTTTATTACAGGTGGAGCGTTCGGTGGATTCGGTGGCTGCGTTCTGTGTGTGTGTGTGTGTGAGAGAGAGAGAGAGAGTGAGTGAGAGTGTGTGTGTGTGCGTGTCTGTTAGTGTGTCACAAATCATAAATTGTTTCTTCAACTTATTAAAATATCTTACTTTACTGTAACTATCTGTTTCTGCTTCTTTATTATATCTATAGTGTGTGATTTACATTATATCCTTCTTCATCAGTCACACATATTGTGTCTGGTCACTTTATATCTTATATTGAATATTATATTACTGTTAAACCTACTATGGATATTAAAATACACCGAACCATGTGTCCTGTATCATAGCTACATGAATGACCTTTGCAGCAAAACAAACCGCGTGGAAATCAGTTCAGTATTCAGTAAGATATGATTAATTTAATGCGCTGAGAGCTCATTTCACCTGCCATTCAGATTACACTGAGCGGAGCGGATGACCGGTTTAAGATGGCGGCTCCAATTCTCGTCCGTGCCGATAGGCAGTAGCGGTCGATGGGGCGTCTACCTATATGATGTCTATGTACACAAGTTTACACATAAATATTGATACTGAAAAACCACACTAGATTCGAGACATGCCGCGAATAAATAAAACAAACAAACAAAAAAAATTTTTGGTTAACTTTAAACAGTTTCGTAACATTTTGCTGGTTTATTCGATTTCTAAGCTTCCACACGAAACACTGAATAGGCTGGAGGCCTTTGATTGACAGCTCAAGTGGAAAGAAACCAGAGAAGCACAAGATTGCATTACGACAAGTCCCGCCCCCAACCAGGATCAGCTGTCCAATAGAAGGTCGCGTGTAGACAGATCACACCAATCAGAGCACAGATTGATCAGGTGACCCGGGACTTTTCAGGTGGTAAATAAAAATAAGGGATTATTCAGTTTTGTCCATTTCAGCTTTACTTATTTACTGCTGCTAATGTTGCAACAATTTCTTTATAAACTTGTTACATATTGTGAGTAAACATCAAACTGTAGAATATTTTAGAGCTGATTTTCTTTATAAATCGGTTATCAATCAAAATTATTTATTATTAATATTAGGCTATTGTTAAATGAATCAATAATTTATTAGGTTCCTTTTGAACAATAACAGTAATGGTTCCAATTTATCTAAAAAAATGGTAATACTGGGTATTAGGGTATACTGACAAAGGGATTTTGAAATGGACACATTTGTAAACTGCATTTATGTGTGTGTGCGTGTGTGTGTGTGTGTGTTTGCGTGTAACGGCACAGTTTATGAAGAGCACTCCTAAAGTCAGTGAGGCTAGTGAATTGTGGGCAGGGTGAAAAGTCGCGTACGAGCACACACACACACACACACACACACGCGCACACACACACACACACACACACACACACACACACACACACATAGCATTTCTGGAAGTTTTTGTCATGGGTTCATTTAAAAATGTAATTCCAGTCATTTGTCAGTTTGGGAGTTTTCTAGTTTTCTTTCTTTTTCTGTTCCACTCCCTCCATCTGAATCACAGTCAGGTCAATCTGTAGCCACTGGGGTGTATCAGTGTTAGAAAAATAAATGATAGCTCATTTTTAACATCTGTGGCTGACTAAACACAATTTTATTATTTGGGGTCAGTATAGTTGCCTTAGTGCATTAAAATATGTGGGTCAAATTGACCCGTGAACATCATGAACGTAATAGTTTGTTTATATATGTCAAAACACATCTGCATGTTGAAACTTTGCATGCATGTTTATTATGAAAAATGAGAAAAGTCACAATATATCAAGAAGAAGAAGAAAAGGAGGTTAACCAGCATTTCCAAAAACTAGAGAATCTAAAGGGGTCAAATTGAACATAACACACTCTTATCATGAGGATTAAACATATTCATGATTTTTAAAAATCAGTTCATCAGAACTCAAATCTAGGAGAGAGCATTATTTGAAACTATTATTGCACAAATGTTTTGTAATATCCACATTTACATATCAATTGGTGTTCAGAAACTTGGATATTATTCCAAAACCTCGGGATAGATTTCTACTATAACAGTTTTTCAAATTGCTTTCACAATAAAAGTGGAACTTAAGGCCCATTTAGCAAAACATTCCCAATCTTCAGACCAATTCTGCAAACCTACAAGCACATTATAAGCTTACACTTATATTTGAAAAAGAAAACACTGCCATGCACAATCATGTCCCGATTATCTCATCAGTGAAAACATACATAAATTGATCACTTATAAATGAAACATTTTTTTTATAAACACATATATTTTCCGCCTTTGCATTTTGTAAATATATTCTGAATATGTATATACCGGTAAGTCATCACTTTATTTCTATAGTGTTTCATCCAGTACAGATTATTTCAAAGCATCTTCACAATAGTAAAACATTCAAATTCTCCTGAAAAAAGCAGCTTCAACAAGCCAATTATGTCATTATTCAGCTCAAGTCATTTCAGTGTTGATTTAGTTCAGTAAAATGACTGTAAAATTCATCCATTGTGCACATACTGTATATACAGTGTATTAGTGTGCACATACGTGTGTGTGTGTGTGTGTGTGTGTGTGTGTGTGTGTGTGTGTGTGTGACAAACTCCTGCAACTCCACTGCACTGAACAAGCAAAAGACACAAGACAATAGTGTTTTATATTTTTCACATCTCTGTGTGTGTGTGTGTGGCTAATCATTTGATGTTTGCGTGTAGAGTTACTATGCAAAAACACAATTTTTGAAAGAGTTAAAATAGTTTCGAATGAACTGTTTGCTTTTGGAAGAGATATCTGATGTTTTGCATGGTGTGTGTTTTTTTGTTTTTGTGTGTAATGTTTAAAGAAATGGAGCCATAGTTTCAGAAATTGTATGTAAGCAATTTGAAAAACTGTAATGTTAGTATTAATAGTTGCAGTGTGTGTGTGTGTGTGTGTGTGTGTGTGTGTGTGCGTCCTGGGACCTGGATGACTACAACATGACTACAGAGCATTACAACATTCTCGCCTTGATGTCATGAACTAACGGTTCCGCATTTGTCATTGAAAGCATATGTCGTAATTTAGATATATATTTACGATGGAAGAATGCGTTTTTACAAACAGTAACAAACAGGACTATCAGCCTGCAGTCATAGGATAGTTATCCTGATCGATTATTTTGTCCGTGTAATCATGTATTATTTACTTGCAAGAATGTAGCCCCTACCAAACTCAGTAATCGGTGTACTTTCACGTCTCGAGGTGGCGCGAGCTGCCCGCCCCGGCTCTATGGGGATGAGTGTCTTAAGGGCCCTCAAAAGAAAGCAATGCGGTCTACACTGGATGCTGCCTTCGTCTTCAGGCAGGAAATGCAGAGTCCGGACCGTCAGATTGCGAGCTATGGACGGGGCCAACGCCAAAGAACTTTATTGCTTTCTCGGCTATCAATAAATGTATGTATGGTTATAGTATTTAGTCTCTTTATTTCTGGTAGAATTAATTTGAAGTGTTAGAGAGTATTCTAGGTTATTGTATGTTGACACATTTTTTTTTCAGAATTAAGTAATGGGAAATTACAAGTCATCCAGTTTTTATATCAGCTATGCGTTCCTTTAACTTTGTGAATTGGTCAATTTCGTTACATTAGCATAACAGGGAAAACTAATGCCATGCTTCCTAATGATATCACACACACACACACACACACACACATCCTGAGACTCCCACATAGCTACAGATTGACCTGACTGTGATTCAGATGCAGGGAGTGGAACAGAAAAAGAAAACTCCC